TTGATATAGAATCATTAATTACGTATACAAACCTTATAAAAAACGTATCATTTCCTTATTTCGATTTCTTATAGGAATAATGAAGTGAATTAATCTATTGGACAAAAATGATATGATAAATTTTTAGAATTATCATAAGCCTAATTTGATATCTATACATTAAAAAGTACAAGAAAAAAAATTTTTTTTTTGGTTTGAATATTGTTATATTTTATTGTTTTATTTTATGTAAAATTCATATGTTATTTTAAATTCCTTAATAATTACGTATACATTAATTTTTTAAAAAATTATAAAAAAATAAATCATACAGAATTTTGATATAGAATCATTAGTTACGTATACAAACCTTATAAAAAACATATCATTTTCTTATTTTGATTTCTTATAGGAAGTATAATTCTTATTTACTTTCTATATAATTCTACCTTAGAATATTACCAAATCTATATCTTATTTTACATTTCTACCTTCCTAGAACTCTTTCAAGTATAGTTATTACTTTTGAATCATTTATTGAATACTAGATAAGGCATATGTAAAGTACTAGTACAAGAAAAAGAGCTGTTTCTCATAAACAACGAAAGAAGACATAACTGAAAAAGATTAAGCAGTTGATGATTTGAAATGATAAATTATATTTTTAATTAAAATATATTCTAATCTTATAAAAATGCATACAGTTAATTTACTAAAACAACTTATGCCAGAGATAATAACATTTATTCTAAAGTACCTTCTAAAATAAGATCTAAAAGTTTTTGCAATGTAAATGATATATGAAAAAGTGAGACAAATCATGAATTGTTTAAAAGAATAATTCTCACAAATTTTTGATTTGGGATTAACATAGATATTAATATAAATTATATAAGTGACAAAATGTGAAAATAGCATACATAAAAATAATAGTATTTTTGAAGTAAACAGATTCTAAGTGAGTCTTATTTTACATTAAAAAAGATCAATTTACATATTATCTTAAATGATGGTAAAATACATAAAATTATACCTATTAAATTCATAGTTATTGAATCAGATTGACCTGATCAATTTTTTAAAATACTCTTAGGCTTACTATAGATATGAGAAAATGATGTAAGTTTAAATATATGTAATTCAACATTAACAATAGACAATAATTTTATGTCTCATATCAATTTAACTGATAATTAAATTTAAGCTATAATCAATTTTTTCTAATCTAACTAATAGTCTGAAGTGGTAATTATCAGCTCATAAGAATTTGTTAAGCTATATGATATATCTCATGGCCAATGCATGTATTGCTGTGTGATAAAAATAAGTAGATCATCAGGCAAAAAATAGTTAGACTATCTTACACTATGCTAAAGGTATAAGGGAGGGAAAATCCTGAATTACTTTAAAGTAATATAAAAAGAATAATTAGTATTATTATTAGATTATTTAAGGATCATATTAGTGTTGATAGTTTTTCAGTTAACAAGAAAACTAAGATCAAAATTTTATCAAAAAAATAATGTGATTAACCTCTTGTATTTATTTTTATATATTATTTTTTGGTAACTTTGCTATTGCAGAAGAATAATCTAATTATTTTAATAAAGATTTTTTTCTTGACAAATTTTGCTTATCTCAAATTAGAAAAATTACATGTTTTTTATTTTGAATATTTCATATTTTAGTATAAAATTTATTGATTATATTTAAACTTAATCCAATGTTTCATTAATAGAATTAAATGCTAAGCTCTTAGCTGAGATTGTTAGAAAGAAGTTTGTTAAAATTGAGAATGAGAATATTGATATTTTCAAACTGAGAAAAAAGGTTACTAAGGATAAAGTTAAGAAAATGAAGCTAAAACAAAAGCTTAAAGCTAGAACTAATAAGGTAAAAAAAATTATATCACATTATTTAGTTAAGATTGGTAACTTAATACCAAAATTGTAGAGCTAGAGAAATATAAGTTAGCTATCATCAAACTCGAGTTTGAGAATGTTGTGTTCAAAGTTAGGTTACAAAGTTGAAACAGTAGACACAAATTAGTGAAACTCTTGAAGAAGTAATACCAAAAATATTAGCTATTAATATATTTAGTTTGTTAAAGTAAACAGATCAGCTCAATAGTGAAGTAGATCAAGAAGATACTATATTTAGTAATAATACTAATACTAGACTATTAGAAGATAAGGAAATGGATATTTTCTTGGATGAGATGCATAAGAAGAAGAAATTACTGCATGAATCAGCTAATAAGAACCTATTTGCTAATAATCAGATGATTTTGAAAAATTTGGAAGAATTTGAAAAAACCATTTTCTCAGAAAATGATGTGATTTTGAAAACTGTAAAGCAAAATAATAATATAATTTCAAAGGAATTGTTTGATGAAAACCAAATCATAGAACAAGGTCTAATACATAAATTATGTTTATCCATATCACCTAAAGAGATGTAAGCGTCACTTTGTGACCATCTTTCAGCTAATATCAGCTCTATAGAAATTATCAACTCTTGCATTAGTTTAGAGAATATGATTTCAGATTCTGCCCAACACTTATTTTATTTATTTGAAACAGCAATAAAATTCAATTAGCAGGAAATATTAGACTAGTATATTTATTTTTTGAATTTGAGAGCAAAGTTGATGCTCTTACGGCTGATGATAAAATTAAGGATAAAATGACAAGATCAATGATTTACAGAAAATGAAACTATTTCTTCCTACTAAAATCACACGTTATTTGGAAAAAATAGGATTGGAATAGATAAAATTAAGCTAGTCTCATATAGTGTAACTGAGATTTCAAAACTAACTAATGCACA